GGCGGCTCCCTTCTCGAAGAAGAGCTCGTTGAAGTATTCGCTGCAGGCGGCGAGGACGGCTTTGTGCGCTCGGTACTCGTCTCCCTCGATGAGCAGCGTGATGTCACAGAACTGGTTAGTGAGGCGCTGCTGGTTCAGTTTGTCCAGCATCGTCTGGCTGTGTTTGGGCAGGAACTGATTCACCTCGCCCTTACTGTCCACCTGGGAAACACACACATTAAAACACCTTCAAAATCTAATCAACACATGTCAACAATAATAACTGGTCATCATATAAACCTAGTCCCATTGCCAACGTATTTACAGTAATTACAAGCATCTATTATGTGAGCAAAGTAGTGTTGCACAGTGTACCGATACTTGAAAGGTACCGCGATACCCTGCCGATAAAAACGTTACGATTCCTCCGTTTTATTAGTATCGGTACTTTAAGAATGACGGGGGAAAGTACTCCGGTGAGAAAGCGCCGTTTTAATTAGAGCCGTGTGTGTTCAACGCTCTGCTTCCACTCCCTGCACTGCAGCCGTGCCTGCAGTCCCGCCCCTCTCAAGCACGCTCTAAGCGCGTTTCCACTGCAGGCCTCGCTCGGCCTCGCTCGGTTAGGCCTTATTAGGCCCGGCTCACTTTAATGCTGCGCTTCCATTACAGTTTAGGAGCTGGGGTAGTTATTATAGTAACGCAGTGTAGGCGGAGCCGTGACGTCATCTTCAATGAGAGCCCCAGAAAAACAACACAGCCGTTAGCTCTTAGCACTCAGAGCTCACAGCTCCTCATATCTGTTCAGAAACTTGACAAAAGTTAAACAAGTACAAACCACAGACTGCCTGTGTCATGGAGAATACAGTCGCTGGTTTGTTTATGTCTGTATAGGCCGTTGTTGTGAGTGTGGACGGTCGGAGCATATATAACGTTAGCTTAGCCAAGCTACATTTAGAAAACACACATTTTAAAAGGGTTTTCCGCCTGCCGTCTGTCTGCAGACTTGTCAAAGCATTAATTCATGGTTTTTACTAACCGGTATCAGTATGTTGTTACTTCGGCATCATTTTGAAACGTGTATTACAATTAAATCACGGTCAAATATGTTCATCTTGTTGTAGTTGTAGCCCCCTTGCCAGCGATTCTCTCTCTAGTTTAGCATACTCAGCCCGACTCAGCCTGGTTGTTCCTGGCCCTAGAACCACGATTAGGACCCGCTAGCCGGTACTAGGCCAAGTGGAAACGCAACCAAAAACGGGCCCCGCACGGCTCGGCACGCTTAAAGCGAGCTACCCGCTGCAGTGGAAACGCGCCATAAGTCCCTCCCCTCTCTCGTGCACGCGCTAGCTGCCAGAGCATGTGAGAAAGCGAGAAGCATGGCTGCAAGTGGGAGTGCAACTGCCGCTGCGCCTCGGCTTGTTGACAACAAAGACGCCAGAAGCGAAATTTGGAAGTATTTGAGCGATATCTCTGACAGCGAGGTTATGTTCTATTTTTTGTCGGAGACCTCATTGTGTTGAATGTCATTTTAACATTGTCATCGTGTTATATTTTCTTTTGATGTTCACCTTCGCTCAAGAACTGCTTATTGACCACAGAGAACAAAGGTCTAATGATGCCATGTTTATAATATACGTTGTATCATCATCACTGGTCATCAATACATCTTTTGATCAGACCCGGCGGCAGACATACGTCTCTGGGCGGGCATTTGATTTACCAGGGCGGGCCTGAAACTTACATATCCCGGGAAATCTGAATTGTTGCTGTTAGACGCTCGAGATTTGTCAACGGGGGTGGGGGGGGGGGGGTGGGTGAGGAAGGCGCTCGTGAATTGTTGTTACGGAAACAGAGGGGTTTTAGGTAATAGATTTTAGGTTGCCATAAGGCTGTTGACGGTCTTACTATAGACTACATCCATAGGTTGGTTTTGTGGCACATTTGTAACGCTGTGCCAACTTGGGAAAGCATGCAGGCAAACCTGAGGAGCGCACACAGGGTGGAGTGAGGTTGAGCGATGGAGAGAAAGGGAGAGAGAGAGAGATATTGAGCGAGGCAGAGAGCGTGTGCAGCGGTCTGCTTGCGCACAGAGCCGGAGTTTGTGAGAGAGCCGGCTTGAGTCAATTTCTATTCAAAATATAATTGATTGCCAGCCTCCCTTGTCCCTGACTGGCTTGCTAGCTCGTTGGCGCTGAGTTGCCATATTCCTTTCATGAACCACTTCCTGATATCCATTGTTGCAGATAAATATAAATGATAAAAGCCAAACTAACCTAGCAAGAGTAAACTAACTGACAGGCTGCTGTTCCGCATCTCACTCAAAAACCCACACGACTCAACCCAGCGAAAAACCAGTCTCGCGCGCAGCCTTTCATTCAGAATTTCATAGCAAAAAAAAAAATGATATTAAACTAATCTTTCAACATAGTTTAAAACAAAAATAAATATTAGGACAAAGCCCTACAAATAACAACAATACACATAATAATAAAACAATTAAAATGTTGTATTCAGTCCTGATTAAAACAGCGGGCCCAAATCCTGGATGGGCGGGCCCGCCAATGACGCCGGGTCTGCTTTTGATTCCGCATATCTAAATAGTAATATGTAACTATAGTATTTATTCTAATTTAAACTCTTTAATTTACAAAAAAAAATGTCCCCTTATTCTGATTTATATGTATTTATTTTCTTTCTCCTGTAACGTGCTTGCACCATATATGTCTAATGCACTATTTTAAGTATTTTTCTTGTTGTGTTGAGTATAATGTGTTGCATTGTGAGAGAAGCCTGATAGTAATATGAAAATAAAACCTTGAATATTTGACTGACATGCCTTAGTTATTATGTTGGTTTTTACGGATCCATCAGTCGATTTATAAAGACAACTAATATTATTTTAACCACATTGTCATACCATTTGACAGTTAGCTCAGGTTGCTTCTAAACCAAGCTACATTTGAAAAAAGGCTACATTTATTTAGCTTTCATTTTTATTATTTAACAAGATCCCATCTTTGTAATTATCTGGACTTAAACAAAAAGGTAAATATGTGAAGCTTACAAAGACGAGTTCGTGTTTGGCCGTCGCTTTGTGTCTCAGTTGACTAGATGGGTCAGCGAAGACTAAGCTATCTCCCTCTTCTTCCTCCTCTTCCTCTTCATCGTTAGCGGTCGCTCTGCGTCGCGCCGGTCGGGCGAAAAGTCGATTTCCAGCGCCGTCATCCGAGCTGCGTCTGTTGAGACACTCGGGACACTCTCTGATTACGTCCTTCACCTGCTTCAGGATACCTGAGAGAACAGAGATACAGGAGGGGTCATTCACGGCCAAACAAACCCGGGATGTATTTACTTACATGTGAGGCACTGCGGCTAGTTTTGTTTAAACATGTTAATAAATAATACCCATTCCTATTTATTTGTGTAAGTTCTATTATTATCTGGCAACCGTATATTGAATATTTACACTTATTGTGTTCCTCACTTCTCCACCAGTAGCACAAAATAGTCTCAACAATACTTATTAATATATATTTTTCTTTTAAGTGCTTATCTCTTTTCCTTCATGCAATGATTTTGGATGATGAAATAGTTTCCAATACATTTTATTCCTAAAGAAACACCAAAAACAACTTTATTTTAGGATTTTCATTTTAACAAACACTCAGACACATGACTTGAGCAGCTCAGCACAATTATATTCTTATTTAAGTATAAAAATCTATAGTAAATATAATTTTATGAGCCTTTTATTGTAAGACAAGATGAGATAAGGTGGACCTGTATTGATCCCCATAGGGAAATGCAGGTGTTATAGCAGCCACTGAAGAGAGAACTACAGCGATAATAAGAATACACATATACAAAAATAAGAATAAACATGTAGTAACCGTATGAATAGAAATAATTCATCAGGTGAATATATATATATATATATATATATATATATATATATATATATATATATATAGGTTGAATATATGTAAAAGTGCAGGTACCAGTGCCAGTGAAATGTGTATGTGCATACAGTGCAAATATTAATATTCAGTGCAGGTTATTGTGGATTTTAATATAATGCCAATCAAACTACTTTGTTAATAAACAAATTAAAACAAGTTCCAAAATAAATACTTAAATTATCCGCTAGATGGAGACAGCGAGTAACTATGTGACTGTGTCGTGTGGCGTATATTTACATTAATAAAACCTCATGTTAACACCAGTTTTCCAAGCAGATTTAACCGCATTTAAGTGGCTATTTCTTCCTCACCTCTCCACCAGTACTTCTGTGAGATGAAGTCCCAGGTGAGCTGCTGGTTCAGGTGTTCCCCGCCCTCAGAGGCAACATGCTCCGCGGTGATGAGCTCCCTCCTCCGATCGTCCTGCAGCACCACCTCCAGTTCCGTGAAGTCATTCTGTCCCTTCAGCCGCCTCTGGTAGAACAAAGTCCCGCTGCGGACCACGTAGCATGTCGCTGCTTTGCGGATCTTTCTCTTGGTGTTCCCGGGGGTCCCTGCCGCGTAGGGCTCCCTCTCATCGGTCAGATAGCGGATGATGGCCCGGTAGCTCTCTTCGCTCGACATGTCGTAACCAGACACCAGCGCTTTTTAGTTTTTTACACTCAAATCCGGGGGTTCTGCCGCCCACCTCGGCTTGTAAAATTGTGATTTGATTTTTTAGATAGTAGATAACGGGAAATATTAACGCTGGGATTAAATTTCACATTGTTTTCTTTAAGACGGAACTGCAGTTCTCGATCGTCAGGGTGGACTTGCTGCCCGAACAGACAAAATGGCTGCTGCACAACCGGATGTTCCGTGAGTGGTGTGGCGGAAGCAGGTTATGAATGTCTTCCGCCACAAGATGGCGCCGTGTGCAAACTTATAACTGAACACAACATAGACTTTTATCAAACATTTGACTGTAATATACATGTGACAGATACAAACCAACTGATGTAATACACATCATAATGATAATAGTTGTTATTATCATTATTATAAGTTAAAATACCTTACTTTAAATGTGTTTTAATTATGACATCTCTTTTACTTTACGTTAGTTTAATACGATAGAAATTAGCATTTTAATGACAAACTGACTGATACAGTATACACCTTAGTAAACGTAGTTAATCAGATAAAGATTATTGTTATTATTAATTATATTTTACCTGTAATTTGATTCCCTGTGCCTCCAGTTCAGTCCAGGATTAAAGGTCCGTTATTATCACTCATATAAAGTCTGAGACCAGCAGAGGAACCCATTACAACTTTATTTAAGAGTCCCTGAAGTTATAACCTAGACTTCTACCTTTTAATTGTTTATTTTTAATCTAATGCCTACTTCACAAAACACAGTTATGAGGAAGAAATACTCGACGAGACTTTGACTGTTATTTTTGTCCCGGGTAAAATAAACAGGTCAAATGGTGCGTTTAAAGACAATCGGAATTTCAAAGATTGTTCTGATTAGGTGCTCCACAACAGCACAATTTTTTGATTTCTCATGTATTGTTTATTTTAATTATTTAATACTCTGTATATTTCTATCTGTTGCCTAGTGCAATTGTATATTGTAGAGTATTTAAACATATTCAGTATTTTCTTTATATTGTGTATTATTTAGATGTATTTTCTATTGTACTGTTGTATATTTGCTGTTCATGTACATTCTTTGTTTTATTGTATCTGTATCTTATTGTCTCTTTTAAATAGTTTTTCTCATGTGTAATGCGTGACAACACTGCTGCTGTGACAATGTAATTACCCAATTTACTATGTATTTGTAAAATGACACAATAACATATAACTAGTGCTGTCAAAATTATCACGTTAACGGCGGTAATTAATTTTTTGAATTAATTGCGTTAAAATATTTAACGCATTTAACGCATGTGCAGAATGGCCCGCCCCATACATGCCACCAGTGGCAGCGCCAGGGTATGGCTGGGGTAGGCTACACCCATACCAAGAAATGGCTAAGCCCCACCATGAAAAATGATGTTAAAGTAAGCAAAATAAAGTCTGCCAACTCGCGCGGAGTAAATTGCACAGACAGCAGTTAGTAAGATTGATTTCAGTAGCCACGGTTTTGAAAACTTTTGTCACGTAGTGATCGTCTTCTCAATAGAACATCTTTGATAACGGCGTGGTGTTGTTGCAGGAAGTCCCGACGGAGAATACTTTTGCTGTAGTACGGGGTGCACATAACTGGTAGGCAGGTTATGTGCGTAATCTGAAATGCGTACCGTCACTTGTGTCACAAAGCACATTTGCGTACCGACGTACTTGTGAAGCTTTTCCAGAAGGCGGTTAGATCACCGGACGACAGAGTCGGTCTCCGTGTGCACAGACAGGGCTGCTGTTAACGTCGGTCTGTACAACGGAATTGTGCCAAAACTACGCCAACCGGCTGCGGAGGGAGACTTCCCCCCCTTCACTGGAGAACTGCGCTAAAACAGCTGATCACAACGTTCACACTCTGTGGTCACGAAGTACTCCACTAGCCGCCGCCCCCCTCTGTCGACTTTCCTGAAGTACTCCCCCGTTGATAGAAATCAACACGTAATGAATTAAGACCCCACGGTTTGATGATTGATAGGTGTGTGGGTTGTCTTTCATTTTGACATGCAGAAAAATGTTATAATAAACATAGATACTGTATGTTAAATGGATATATCCGCCTTCTTTCATTTATCTTTCCATTCCTACAACAATATACATAAATAAATGGCATATTTTGGACATAGTTCGAATGGTGATTAATCATGATTAATTAATTTTAAACTGTGATTAATCTGATTAAAATTTGTAATCGTTTGACAGCCCTACATATAACACATTCATTTGTTTTGATTGAGTATTTTTCTCACAACAAAACACAAAAGTTTGATCTTGTAGTTAAACTTAAAATAGCAGACCTTCAGCATGTTACATAATAACAGATTCAACCGTAAACTAAAGACAGAGAAACAGTAAAAATGCTTTTCAACATTTATTGATAACAATATAAGAGGTTGATACTATGCAGTTTTTGGTGGAGATCTTAATCGTCCAATCCGTTGCATGGTAAGCGGGAAAAACCGGAGTGAACCCGGAGAAAACCCAAAATGATAAAACCCGCCCACACAAATATTTTGGGAAAACACCGGAGCGACCCCCGAGTAAATCTCAAAATGATGAAACCCACCCACACATATTTACCACCCTAACTTAAAATCCCACCCTTTAAATACCCCACATTTCATTAACCCCCTTTAAAGAACCCACACGGGCTCAGCGCTGCGTCTGAAAGGCTTGCTGATGGCCTTGCCTACAGAGTGGAAGAATTTGCAGACGGCTCGTCTCTTCTTTGGTTGACGCATCAGGCGAGCTTTGAAAATGGACGCGACACAATTTTCATCTGACGATCCTTCCATGTTGAACATCACGATCACGGACTCTGCGCAGCCCCAGATCCTGACCAGGTCCTTGTAAACCACCTTGTTGAGGGTCTGAAATGTGTCCGGGGTTACTGTGAAGCTTTCCCCCTCGACTTTGGCCCACACTTTCTCCAACAAGCTCTCAACGATGCCGACTGAGTTTCCAACGTTGTGGTTCACCTTTGCGTTTTTGAAAAGCCGTGTGATCAGTTTCTGAACCAGAACCTTGACATCCATTTTGGCTTTCAATGACACTGACACTGGGGCTTCTTCTGTGATTGTTGGTCGCACCTCAATCTCCTCGAAAGCCGATATCATCCTTTCAGTTTGTGTGACAGCCTCGTTGTTCACAAACCACCCGAACACTCCTAAGAAGCGACGCACTTGCCTCGTTATCGCAGATTTCACAGTTACTGGGGGTGGGGCAATTAATATTTCCGTAACTCCTGGGGTAGACTCAGGAATCGTCATCTCTCTCGTGGTGTGAGTGTAGAGGAGTTCTTTTAGATCCATTTCGAACACATGGTTCTTGCCGAGGGAAATGTCTTTCATTCTCTGATTAACACACACTTCGTTCCAATCGTGGTCTCCATCACCCTCCTCCGTGAGCAAACCATCAATATCGTTATCAAAAGCCCTCATTGAAGTCACGCTGCTAGCTCTTGCTCCAGGGCAAAAGGTTTTCTTCAGCCCTGACAGCATTCGATGTATGGTCAGTTTGGCAACACGTCTGGTTAAAAAGGCCTTGATCTTTCCGCATTTATTTTTCTCGCTCAGCTTGATCTCGGCTTCTTCTTCTTCAGTGGTAAGCGTTGAATTGCTCTTTGCTCCCAGACACTCCTTCACGATGAGTTGAGTGAGTTCAGCAATCTCCTCGACCGTGTCGGCTCTAAGAAGATCGCTCTCACTTTTGGTCATACTATCCATTAGGGGCTCTGTGATTTTCAAAAACTCTTTTGTAATGATATCCTCGACCATTCTGGATGTATCGCTTCCAATGCTGTCTTCTAATCCGCTGGAGGCGTTCCTCAACCCAGAACTGGCTGAGGTTTTAGGGAATAGAGGTACGGACCCTGAGCTATTTGAGAGTGCAGACTCGGACCCTGAGATTTGAAAGATGGAATAGTTGACCTCTGAGGTTTTTGAGTGGGTAGACCCTGTCTCTGACGTTTGATAGCGGGAAGCAACTGAGGTTTTTGAGAGGGTAGACCCGGACCCTGAGGTTTGAATGAGGGTATAGTTGACCTCTGAGGTTTTTGAGTGGGCAGACCCTGTCTCTGAGGTCTTAGAGGGGCCTGAGGACTCGTGGCTCTTTTCTTCGTTGACGTCATCTCCTTTTTGTCCATCAGTGGAGGTCTCCATAGACCTCTTCTCTTTGCGTAATCTAAATCGAAACAAGCCCTTCATCTTAGCCCCAATAGTTCTCAACATATGGATGGCGTGACCAACCATGACATCAAGTCTGTGGTGGGAAGTGACGTGTTCGCTTTCCATAATACCCTCAGCCTGGGAATTGCAGCTGACTGCTGACTTGACGCTGGTTACAGCTTCTTTCACCAGCAGCCTGGTTAAACGTGTGGCGCTGACACACTCAACCATGTCCTTAATGCCCAGAAAATCAGCGATAGTCTGAGGGAGTGTGTTGCCCAGAATGGACCAAACAACCTCCTCAGAAATGATGAAATTGTTGTTCTTCATGGCTACTAGTAGGGATTTTGTCAGTACATCTACTATGTCCAAAATAAACTCTGCCACATAAATTTTGATGCCATCATCAGATGAGCTTTTGTTCAGGGATTCCCACTTATCCACTGGCAGCCTGCTGAAGAACTTTACTATCACTGCACGGATGTTATCTCGACTGATTGCTGCCATGTTCTCTTCCTGTGGGATAGCTGATTGAGACATAGTAATTTTAGATTGAATTTTAACTACTAAGTAACACTAATTATTTTGTAATAATTACTATCTTTTTAAGTAACTCTGCTCTGTAGTAATAATTATTTTTCTAATAATGACTATGCTCTGAATTAGTTCTTTGGTATCCTGTCCTTTTGGTGAAATAACTGTCTGTTTTTTAACGCACTGCACTCTCTGTAAGCCTCTCAAAGGGTGACCAGATGTGATAATGAGGTCCCTTTGTAGGTTTCAATGTGCCTTGATGGTCATTTCGAATGATGTCATCGGATCAGAGCTATGACGTCATCATCAGATCAAGGTTTGAACGTTCGTTCGCTAAGCCCCGCCCCCGAACAACGCTGCCGTGTTGTTTCTACGGAAGCCCCGTGTTGTTTTTTGAAATCAAGGCAAAAGCATCTACTGTCAAAAATGAGAAAGAACACAGAAAGAAATGGAAGAGTTGATCTATAATGTGAATAATGGCTTATTGATGTATACTGTTAAAAATGTGTAACATTTGAACACTTAGTTACATTACCACAGATAAACAAATCTAGCCTAAATCTCTCTGTTTTACATTCAGCCTGTAGTCCATAAGATGGCAGCAGAGCTCTTTAAAAAGATATAATTATGATCAAATATTAGCAAATAATACAAAAACAATCACACATTAAAAGCCAGATTGTAGAGGTGAGTTTTTGTAAGTTGTTTTGAAAGTGGTGAGGTCAGTGCAGTCTCTGATGGGTTGTGGGAGTGAGTTCCAGAGGGAGGGGGCAGCGACGGAGAAGGCTCTGTCCCCCCAGGTCCGGTGAGTGGGGATGGATAGGAGGTTGGCTTCTGATGAGCACATGAGATATATATATATATATATAAGGAGAGTGTATATAACTAATATCAACAGAAAAGGTTTATTTTTCCATTTATGTGATAAAATATAATTATTTTTATTTATTTCAGTAACATTATAATATATTTTTTTATTATTTTTAATGTATAAATCAGTTAAAAACGTTTTTTATGATTTATTATGATTATAATTTTATATTTTAATTTCAGTATAGTCTTTTCGTTGTTTTTTTACATTATTATATATTTTTTTATTAAT